GCAATATATTAATAAATATCAAGGTTCATAGAATAGAAGGTTACGACTTGGTACGACAGAAAGTATAGCTGCCGTATAGCATATTTTAGGAATCCTAATCAAATGGGCATTTTTGATATAAAATCGTGGCTAAGCTTATTATAACAACATAAAATGTTATAACTTCACGTGAAACTGGATTAACATAATAATACCGACAACTTAAATGTAAATCGAATGCAAATTGAAATTTGCTGGTGATTTTATTCTTGAAAGTGATCAGAACGCATCCGCGCATTTATAAATAAAAAGCGTTCAAACATTGGCGAAAATTCGCTACCGAAATTGCAATTCATCTTTAGACATACGGTAAAACCTAAATTACCTTTTTCAGTGTAATTTTTACAATCAAAAACAGCGCACTTAAATTTTTAATAATTTAAATAAACTCAAAGACGCAGAAAAAAGCACAACGCAAATTGTCAAAAGGTAAATATCAGGGTTACACATATTTGCAATAAAACTTGATGTATTTTTGACTAAAATAGTGTATTTTTATAAGACAATTTTTTAGGAATCTGGCAACTCCTAAAATTGAGCCATCTACGTCATCAAGATGGCGGCCATGGCTGATGTCGTAACCTTGTATTCTATGAACCTTGAATAAATATTTACAAAATAAGTAAAACAGGGGTATAAAACGTACTTGTCTGTGGTAATGGTGTAGAAAACACCATATCCATCTAAGGTCATTGGAGCCACAAATCCCACATTAGTGGAATATCCTAACGTACTTGTAGAAAGAATAAAGTTTCCTGCGCCTCCGCTTTTCATGTACAATGGATCCTCATAGAATTCTGGTATACCCCTTCCATTTTCGTAAGCTATACACCACAATCCAAATAAATGTCTGTCCACTCCATTTCCTTCGCGCGTTTCATTCATCATGTGATTGTGATGATTAACGGCATTTCGAAAAGCCGAACATATTTCTGAATTTGAAGATTTTGAATTGTTTGCAACTTGAATAAACTTATGTACTTCAGTGGTGCAAGAGCGTAAAGTTTCCGTACGACCGTTGTAGTAATGACGCATAAGGGCTGTCTCATATGTAGAAGCAATCCTACGAAAATGATAAAATAGCCATTGAATAAGCGTCAATAATTTAAATAACTACTTACTCGTTGTGCAGTTTTGCATATGCTAACTGCATGACAACTTGAATGAAAGAGTCGGGATGTAGGTTCCACTTTTTTATAACCTCTTTTCCGTATCCGTTGAAGCAATCATGTGTAATGATAATGTCATTTCTCTGAAAGAGTTCAAGGGATAAGAACGAAATGTCTTAATGATTACATTTGTAATGATTACTCTTCGGTCACAGTCCACCATTGCTCGTTTAATTTCTACCCTAAGATTTTCATCCAATTCGAACTTTAATTCCTTCAGGGGAACGATCGCGATAACTTCCTGAGAATCCCAGTCTGGCTCGGGAACTTCATACATGCTAAGCTGCACAAAAAGTGCATAGCTCACACTAATGCTGCCATCATACGCTGAATGCTGTGAATGAACAAAAAAAAATACTTATAATTGAGTGACGTAATTTAAAAAGCATAAAGTTTATTTTAACTTTTTAGTCCGCCAAAATTTTTTGTTCAATTTATGACGATTTGGAGGGAACTTGAACTCAGGGTGTACGGCTATATGTACAGATGGTTCCAAGCTTAACAAAAGCGTGGGTAGCGGGATTTATTCTGATGAACTCGTGCTAAACCTCAGTTTTCGCTTACCGGACCATTGCTGCCTCTTTCAAGCAGAGCCCAACCCCATAATGGATGCGACTCGGTGGCTCATAACCTCCACCCTCCAGAACGGCCTACCGCTATCTGTTCTGACAGCCAGGCTGCTATCAAATCTCTCGAATCAAACGGAACAACGTCCAAAGTAGCCATAGAATTAAGGAATACTCTCAACCT